TAATAATGAAATTATTGATATATTAAATCAGTTCCAAGATGAAGATATATGCGAAGCTTTTTAAAAGTTATAATGGAAGCTAACCTAAAAGTTGTAATTAACCTAGGTTACACCTATCTCAATCAAAATGCCGTGAATTCGAATCAAACCTAAAAATTGTGCATTTGGAATAATTTAGCCTACTAAAAAAACATTCTATTTCCATTTGAGAGACCTGTTATTAGAGAAGCCAATCTTGGACTTCCACAAAGCAAAAATTTGGAACCTGTTATTTAATTGGATTCTTCTACCGATCCCCATGTTTCTTACTTGTGCAATTACAACCCCGACGCTTCCGATTGCATTTGCACGACGAATTACATGCAAAAGTATGTCCAAAGGAAGTTTATCTTCCTTGCCAACAAGCTCTAACAAATTCCCTCAAGATCATTCAGGTCCTGAAACTGCTGCTCGAGCTCGATCATGTTTCAGTCTCCCTTTTTTTTGCTTTCTTCGACGGTTTTCCTAACTGGGTCTTCACTTCTTTTAGGAATTTCAGGGGTTAGGTCTTCCAATGGCGTTTCCGAGTCTGAAACTCGTGTATTCGTGAGGAGAAGAGTGAAAAAGAATGCGGAAGTTCAAGATAGCGGGCCTCAAGTTGAACCTAATGTCGACGCTAAAGTAAGAGCTTCACCATTTTCTTTCCGTCTTCTAAGTTCCAAATGTTTTTATTTTAGCTTCAGATAGTCTTTTTGCTGGTTATTTGCTAAATTAAGTTTGTGCAGTCATATTACTCTTGTTTGTTTCATTACACCTGATTTCTGCCCGTTGGATTTTTACTCTCGCTGTCACTCACAATCTATGAACATTCATATATAACTTATCATTCAATAAGATTATAAGCCCTTTTAATTTAAGCTTTTAATACTTTTCCTATACAGCGCTGCTGTCCTCCCGATATTGAAGATTTTGCATTCAAAAGAACAAAGGAATCCCCTGGATCATGTAATTTCTTACCTTAGTAACACTTTTGCACGTCTGAATTTAGGCATTGCTCTACTGGATGATTTATATATCAATTTATGAGAACAGTCACATGTGAAGAAAAAGAAAATGAGATAATTTTCCCAAAATAGTTATTTCTTAAAATTTATTTTTGAAGGACTATGTTATGTGGATACTGCACAGATTTCTCCTTGATATTTATTTTTAGTTTTTAAGTGCAATCAAAGGTGGTGTACTTTTTGTTCACTTTGATGTGAGAAGCACACAAAAGATGTTTCATGAAGGGAAGAGCATTTTTATAAAAAAGTAATTGTACACTGGAAATATAAGATTAAATGTATCATAACATAGCATGGAATACGTGACTGGATTCAATTTTATCTTCTTTTGGGACAATGTAACAGTAGATAAGGAAATATTTTAATGTTCGCTAATAAAATATATGATAGGCATAAATATACTTTTAGTGTATAAATTAAATTTTAATGCCTTTCCTTCTTTACAAGAGATAATGAATAATAATAAGGAGATTTAGTTAAATGTTCAAAAATCAAACCATAAGATTGCTTTGCTTCACCAAATTGCCATTAGCAGACTTAGGGTGTCACCTTAGGAAAACTGATCCATCTTGAATTTGGATAAAGAAAATTTCTACCAAAAATAAAATGGCTTAGACCTACTTGCCAGGGGTTCGCCTGTCCTGTAGAGAAAGGGCATAGGTGTAGCCAACCCCAGGTGCGGTCCACTGCTGGCAGGGCAGCCGGCAGCTTGGATTCGTGCACTTTTATATGTATACTAGATGAGTATAGTGCACCAGAAGATGTACAAGGGAGAACAAATGTATCAAACCAATCTAGGGACTAGAGATGAGATGAGAGGTTTTAAATCACTCTAATTAGTCAATATCAACAAGCCTTTGGTGATAACATTTAGGACAAGAAATCCTGTTTGGAATACATGCTCCGCTTTGACAGAATTATAATAGTTTGTTTTATTAAATTACCTTTTGAGTATGTATGAAAATGTTAATTGAGTTTCACATTTAACTTGTTCTCACACATGCAAGTGTGTGTGCGACCACCTAGACTCCAACATGCAAAGAGACAGAGAAGGGACACGTGCTTTACACATAAAATGTGGGACCTTTGTCTCCCCGGCCACCCACTCTCCCTTCCCTCATCGTTTTTTTCACTTTTTTATTTTTTTATTTTTTATGTGGTACTGCAGGGAAGTCAAAGCCTCCACCTCTAGATCCTCTTGTCACAGGAATTGAAGTTTCTAATCCAATTAGACAAAAAGGCATTGCAGAAAGAGGTGAGTGCTAACTTTTTATTTTTTGCTTTCTCGCCTGGGGGATTTATGCTATATATCTAACAAAATGTTGATGTGGATAAGAAAGAGTACATTTCGTTTAATGCTTTTCTTAGAGGTGGTCATTTTTTTTTGGAAATTTTATTGGATTATATTATTAACGGACTTGAGTTAGTGTTTTTATTAATTTATGGTAGATATGTTCTTAAAGTAATTAATTAAATTATTTCCATCTCATATTTAAGTACGCCTCTGTAAATTCACATATCCTTGATGTAAGAAGAATGAAGTATAGTAGTTACACGATTCATATCATTATTGTTACATTATTTTTGTGATAAGAATGATTTCGTTGAAGTATATGAAGCTTAATAAGAGAGAGTGAAGCAAAATAAAGAAGATAATAGTAATTACAGGGGAGCCTAGCATAAGATACCAAGAAGAGCGAAGCAAAATAAATCTCAAAGCTTGTCCAGACTCTTCTCTTCTCCATTGAAAAATTTTCGATTTCATCCAAGGCAAACATTCCACAGCTAATGCTGCTGTTTGGCGTTCTTAAATCTTTGACCATAGAAGCGTGGAACCACAAACTCCTTGGCCAATTTGGGGAGAGGCAATAAAGGTTTGAGAGCGGTAAACAATGGTGGTTTAGGCTCTTGGCCTTGTTGGTCCGTTGAAAAGAGGAAAGGTGATTATTGTAGGAGTGTGAATAATACAAATAAGTTGGAGTCACAATCATTGGCCGATTATTGATCCCAATTACAAGCTGTACAATATACTAAATATGCCATATATGCAGAGGCCGTAGCTGGTGAAATTAATACAGAATATACCCTTTAAGTCAAAGAGCTAGATGATGACGTTTGGCTTCATGTCTTGACAAGAGACAAGGCCAAAACAAAGTTTCCATCAAGTTGTGCTATATAATTCATCACAAAGATGCAGCAAGGCCCTTTCTGAAAATTGAGATAGCAAGAAGAGTTTCTTCTCTAATTTTTTTCATTTGTATTGAGGTCATCAATAATAAAGAGCACACAAAAAACTTGCATTTGGGAGGAATGTTTGATCTCCAAGAACAAATGAAATAGATGAAGCTAGTTACGAATCTTTGACCATTTAAGGATTTTCTGTGTGTAGTTTATTTTTATCAAATCAATGTTTTTTTTCCTAAGATAAAGTTGAATTATTGATAATGGATATAGGTAAGCCACCTGTGAATTGGGAAAAAATCCTTGAAGGAATTCGTGAAATGAGATCCTCTGAAGATGCACCAGTAGATACCATGGGATGTGGGCAAGCTGCTAGTACTCTTCCTCCCAAGGTAAAATCTCGATTTCGAACGCACATCCACTTTTAGTTTGCTTTATATACTTATTTTCAAGATCTATTATTATCTAAAGTTTCTACTTAAAATTTTTAAAGGCACGATGGATATTTTCTTGTTAACCTTTTACTCTCTATCTTGACCCTTGATACCGAACAAATTCTTTCTTTATTATGCATTAATGCTATCTCTAGGATGAACATTCATTTCTTTGATGCACTGTGAAATCTATAATTTATCAATAATCAGATATGAAGATGACATGGTCAGCTTGTTATTCCAATCAGTTCCCTGTTGGTCCTTAGAAATTACACCTTGTGAATAATAGAGATGGGGGTGGGTGGATCTAGTTACCAAATTTTTTTCATCCAAGACTAAGAAGGGGCACCAAGGAGCCAGCTTAAGGTGCTTTGGGAACACTACATGTTTGATTGTCCTTTCCTCAATGACCATGCAAGCACTACATACTGATAACAGAAGACCAATTTTTATTATAAAATTTAATTTGATATCTGCAGCATTAATGCATTATACAACCTAATGACTACTGATTCTACTTTCTTTTTATTAGGAAAGAAGATTTTCTGTCTTGGCATCTTCTCTTCTCTCAAGCCAAACCAAAGACCACGTGACTCATGGCAAGTTCTTGTACTCTGAAATTATTGATTGATAGAGATTTTTAAGAAACAAACAAATGTCGTCAGCCTTGGAAGCAACCAAGCAGAATAGGCCTTGAAAGAATAAAACCCACCTGTGTAACACCTTGCTTAACTAAGTGACAAACATGTGAGTAAACCTGGACAACCTACACAGAGTTTTGTTGACAAGGTTGGCTTATTTTTAGAAAATAGAGATGAGCATCTAGTTTGTTCATATGGCCAGCCCTTGTTGAGTTTAACTTGATGAGGCCTGCAGGCCTCTGAATTGGCTTAAAATCTATGCAGACCAGATGCATGATTTATAGACTATATTAATATAATACTAAAATGGCCAATTGTAAGAGATATTTGAATATGAATGATTTGAGTTAAGTTTTGAACGCAACAATTAGCTGATAGATACTGCTTGTACCAAGCTATTAAATTATCAGTTTTAAATTGTAGTGTGGAAGTTTTGGGCAATTTATATCTTGACCTTGTGGTTTCTTGGTTTGATTCACATAATTATTTTCTGTGCGAGTAACATGAAGTAGAACAAAAGTTCATCAGTTTGTTGTAATAGGGGCCTCCTCTTCTAAATAAAGCAAGCAGTGTATGGTGAAATGCACTAGAAAAAGATCAATTACTTTACAGTTGGGTAACTACAGAACATAGGTCAGAAATTACTCAAACACTGCCTTCCCTGCTTCTACAGTAGATATTACTGCCATTGGTAGCTGTAAGAGGGTTGGATGTGTTGCTCGGAAATTCTTTTACTGCTTCAGCTTTCTGTTAAGCATTAAACATCTCTTGCCATATGTTTGATGGTGTATTTTTCTCGGTGTCTAAGAATTCCACCCCTTCAATCAAATCCTGTATCTTTTGATGGCAGAACAGAAAGAAAGTCTGCAACAAACTTAGTTGAATAAATTCTGGTCTTTACTTACGTTCTGGAACTAAAATTTTGAATTCCAGTTTTCTTGGCTTAATTATTTTTGATTGGGGCGGCATATCAGTACAGTTTTGGCTCCAAACTGTCATGCCACTCCAATGTAAAATAATTGCCTTTTCAGAAGTGATGGAAACAGGATAGGAAAAGAAAGAACTAGTATTTCACGAGAATGCTGCCTTAGAGGTCTGGGCTCTTCAACTGTATAATTCAGACTACCTCTCCCCTTTCTAATCCCTAGCCTCACCTGTTACTGATTTCCCGACTATCAATTGTTACAGCCTGGTAAAAACTACCTTGCACTACCGTCACTCTGTAACAAATCGACCTCTCAATCTGTCTGCTACTGGCATGAGTAAATCTGTTTTGGGGCAGGCAAGTCCATCAAGAAGCAACAACAGGCTTAGATATATAAATTTTCCTTGATGATAATAAAATTAGAAGGTAGAAATTTTATATTTTGAAGGCCAACTTTTAGGTCCTGGGGTAGTATTACGTTTGTTGTTTCCCAGGTATATTAAGCTCTCTCTTCTAATATTTACTTTAATTAACAAAAGATCTTTCAGGAGTGCAGGAGCAGCAACACGTCTCCAAGAAAATGGCCTTCTTACTGCTGATGCTATGGACAAAGCTGATGAAGCAACCATTAAAAGCTTGATATACCCGGTATATTCTCTTGGAAATTATTGAGCAATGGCTTGGCAATATAAATTTTTCCATTGCATTTGAATCACGTGAAAAGAGGAGAAATCTAACGAAAGTAGTAATATTTTGTATGGATGTTTCTGTTCTTTTTAGGGCACTTCTTGCAATTGTTTTTTCCTTAATGAAAGTTCCATTTTCTGTCAATAAATTTAGAGTTCGTTAGTGTCCATCCTGCAGGTTGGATTTTATTCAACAAAGGCTAGGAATTTGAAGAAGATTGCAAAAATATGTCTTATAAAGTATGGTGGGGATATACCTAGGTCATTGGAGGAGCTACTTCTACTACCTGGGATAGGTCCTAAGATTGCACATTTGGTATGACAATTGTGTATTGTGAGAAAAGAAGGAATTTATCTAGGATGCTTTCTCATGACTCTTCATCATGTTCCGTATATGGCAGATCATGATTATGGCATGGAACGATGTTCAGGGGATATGTGTAGATACTCACGTGCACCGTATTTCCAATCGGCTTGGATGGGTGTCTGGAAAAGGCTCAAAACAGGTGACCGTGGAATATTTACTTGACTCCACTTGGTATATAAATTTGGATGGATTCTGACTATAGATTTTCAATTTCATCGCTTTACTAACTTCAAAATTTTGCAAATGTTGCAAAAACTGTCACGTGGTAGCAGGAGTAAGCTGCACCACAATTGAGAGTGCATAAAACATTTTGAGGCAGTGTTACATGTAATCTCCATCAAATAAAACAAATTATTACTATTCTTATTTTCTCCTTGCAATAGATTTAACGATTTTTGGCAGTCATCCTCCTCATATGATTGCCCTTGAATTTTCTGCATCATGTTTTGATGTCCTTGAAATGGAGATAGTAGTATTATAAAATAAATTTTGCCTTTAGCTGTGTTATGGAATTTCTTGGAAAAATGTAGGTAACGAACTAATTGGGATTTTCATGTTAGCAAGCACTGCGACTGTCGTTGATAATGCATTAGCCTGCTTTAGTTCTAACCACATTGAAGCAAATAACGATTTGTCATTGCACGCTGATCCTTTCTTACGTTGAAGTTGGCTCTAAACAGTACTTGTATTTTCTGCATGATAATTCACTGCCTTCCTTCTCTACATTTTATCTCTTCTAGATTGTTTCCAAGACATGGCATTGCTATAATTGCTCACTTTTTTCCTTTGCTAGAAAACATCCACTCCTGAAGAAACTAGAGTGGCATTAGAACTGTGGCTGCCAAAGGAAGAATGGGTTCCAATTAATACTCTTCTGGTATGTGATGTTTACAAATAGTTGCTTTCAGCTTTGGGTACCACGATACAATTTATTCAATAGAATTATGTCCTTATTAACTTGGTAAAACACAATACCATAGGTTTTACACATAAAACATTCATATTTTTATACCTTTAAACGTGTCAAAATTGTGTGCTTGCATATCCCTGTTTGTATTTACATAATGTATGTCTAGGATTGTTTACTCCTTTGGGAAAACACGGTGTACTGAAATCACAAAGCGTCTGCAAATTGGATCTCCAGGCAACTTCTTATTGCAATTTGTAATCATTTATGCTGCTTCCCAAAGTACCTATCTTAATAAAATATTCTCTCAATTTTATACTTTTAAAGACTAAACTGACTGACAAGTATACTTCGAATTGAGTCGGTTTGATTGTTTTTGTTAGTTTTTTCAGTTTAGATTTGCACCCCTGCATTTCCAACCAATTAGTGAGTTGGTGGCTTGTGCTCTTTTGCTTCCTATGATATGAAGTTTGTTGGGTTTTTGGATTCTGGGTTAAGAAACATTCTCCCCTGTAATTACCATCTTTTTGTATTGCATCTGCACTTATTTATTAGTACTTGATTGTTGCGATGTGAAATAGGTGGGTTTTGGACAGACTATTTGCACTCCTCTTAGACCCAAATGTGGAAATTGCAGTGTAAGCGACTTGTGCCCATCAGCATTCAAGGAGTCTTCAAGCCCATCTCCCAAATTGAAGCGTTCAAGCTCCACCAAAAAGTTATGATCATCTTTTTGTATGAATTGAAATATTTCAGTCGCAGATTTACCCCAAGTAATGCATTTCTATCTTTTTGGTTCCATAATGGTTTACAAAAGGCTTAAATTATGGTCCTGTTTCTATAACCTCGTGTTAATGGATAGGTAGGTGGATTTTCAGGGATCTCGATTGGCCATTGTTGTATAGAAAGAATTTTTTTTTGATTTCAACACATTGGAATTGGAAAGGAGATTGAACCTTTAACCTTTTGATCAATGTTAGAACCTTTAACCTTTTGATCAATGATATATATTTTAACGCGTATATTACTATTCTAGGGTATATTAGACTTTTTATTCATGTCTTACACTACAATATTAGTAATTTATTGGGAAAATTTATCTCTATGTTATTGGTTTTAATTTTGTGATTCAATTTTACTTCTACTTTTTTTTTAATTGTTGACAATTTCATTAAAATGATTTGAAGTCGTTGAAAGATTACAGGTAAAAATGTTACCTCTCCAATTGAATCAAACTACATGCTAAGGGCAAAATGAGGAAGGTAGGAGAGTTAAACCATAGTTTATCCTCCAAAGTATTACAAACTATTGTTTCAATGATTATCAAGGTAAATAATTATTTTCATCCCGGTTTGTAAGTATAATTTAATTCTTGAACTTTATTTTGTAATAATTTAGTCTACGTAATCTCAAATTATTGGAAACAGAAAACTATTTAGTCTCTTAGTTTAAATTTATAACAAAATTTAGTCATTATCATAAAAAGATCTCTTCAAATTTAAGTGTCAATTTTTATTATATAAAAATTTTAATTATAAACATTTTTTATCTCATTAATTTATCGATCTACATGTATAAAAAAATTCTATTAAACTTTAACAACATTTTTCACGATAGAAATTAAATCGCTAAATCTTCAAAGTACATTGTTACATATTGAAGTTAATGAACTAAATTGTTATCACTTTAAAAGTATAAAGACTAAACCGTTACAAACTAAAGTACGGAGATTAAATCATTACTCAAGTATAGAGACCAAATTATTTTTTGACCTAATATCTGATATTAATATTAATCCATGTAAGTCAAGGTGAGCATAACTCAACAATAATTGACATATATTATCTCCAACTAAGAGGTTGTGAGTTTGATCTCCCCATCTCGACATGTTATACTAAAAAAAATAGTAATAATAATAATTAATCCACATAATATGATATTCTGTAGATTATCATAAAGATGCCTAATAGGAATTATACTGACATTAAATGTACAAAAATTGGTCTAATATTACATATTTTTCTGTATGCTAGCGAATCATAGAGTAGCTCACCAAATCAGCAAAAAAACAAACTTTTGGTAAAAATATGTTCACGTTGAATCAGAGGGTTATCTTTACTGGCAGAATATAATCCTCAAGATTAGGTTATCAAGAACTTTGGGTCTTAATCCAACTCTCAACAATGGACATGTACCCTGCGATGGCTGAAAGAAGCTGATGCATTGGCCTTGCTGTTACTGAGGAAGCTTGCTCTTCTGCCAGAGCCAATAGTTAACTCGGATTGGGTCAACACGTTCCAAGATCAAGCAAACGGTTTTGGCTAGGTCGGAATCTGATGGATGGTCGGGTATCCTCAAAGCATCAACAGCATCTCTAAACTCTTGGGTTGATTGGAAACCATGGCAGAGAAGATCCAACAGAGTGCTTAAAGCAAATACATAGTTACTTTTACCCTTCAGAACTTTTAAGCATACCGAAGAAACCTGAGGAGCGGTAATCCATGAGTCTGTGTCGCCTGAATAAAGTCCACGAAGATATCTCCAAGAACTCTCATTTTTGGGATGAGCGAGAATCGCTTCGACGGTATAATTCACTTCAGACTCTCTCATGGCTTTTAGGCCACCCAGCAAGGGAGATCTGGTTATTACAAAGTATCTCTACCACAAACAACACATACAACGAGGAAAAAGGATTAAACTGATGCCCTGAGAATGGTTAACTTAAGGTAGAGCATCATTCACAATTTCAGATGAAAGGCAATTATGTGTTTGAAACCGAAAGTCATAAAAAAAACCTTAAAGTAGATGGCACTCGTGCCAGAAGAAAACTTCAAGATACTTGACCAAAACTACAGGATGAAAGAATGAAGTAATTTCATGCCCCAAGGAAAAGTTTATAATTATGTCCCCGATTCCATGCAGCTCATATAAAAATTCTATTAGGAAACAAAATGACGAGTCCATTAACATCAAGGTTTCTCCGTTGCTCCAAATAAATTCGATGCTTTTGCACCTTTTGTTTGGCATGCACAAGGCAATATAAAATAAGAACCTAAAAAGAAACAAATGAGTTCTTAATATTTAATCCTTCTGGAGCATGGCAGTAGAATATCCATGCTGTGAAGGTTTAATCTTAATTTATTTGATAAAGTGGTAGAACTTAATCTTAGCCGGTGGGAAGAAGCTGATGAAGGTGTTCAGGGCATTGTTATTTAGTTCATTACCAGGGGGGGGTATCCACTCGACCCGAGACCCAGTTCTCTAGTTTTAAAATGGGTGCCAGCTATGTTTCAACCTTGATTCTTCCAAATATGTCCATGTAGTCTGCTTAACAAAGAGTTTGTGTTTCCACGGGGATATGTGCTGCCTTTCTCCTTAAATATTCAACTTCACTGACCTCGTAGCTTAATTGCAACCACATGCTTCCATTTTCTCATCTCTGGCCACATTTCTTGCTGCCGTGCCAGAAACGCTTCTCCAAATGTCCAGCCTTAATTTCAACAACCTTTGTTTTTAAACAAACCAGACTTCTCTCTTGCAAAGCTTTTAGAATCGTGATCGGTTTTGTTCCCATATATTCTTTTTAATTGCCACCCAATTCTCAACATGAAAAAACTTTCAGACCTACTCATTCAGGTTTCCATCATACTTTTGAGTTTTTGTCAGTGTATTCTAGAATGACTGTCATCATCCAACAACCCCCCACCCGCCCTGGATTGCAAAGTTTAAATCTCATTATTGGTTCTGATCATATTTCATATTTGATGCTTTTTTCCTTTTTTTTTTCCCGATTGGATTCTATTTACTTCCCTCATTGTTGCTTGGCTTTTTATTTCCAATGTTGTTTGTTGCTTCCATTCATCTTCAGAATCTGATTATTGAGAATCTTATTGAATCCATATCTATATCTTTGTCGTCATTAGTTATATCGATTCCATAATATTCTTTGTTTGGAGCAGCAAACTTTACATTTTCAGCCATAATTGATCGATGGCCAGGACCAATACTGATAACAATATGATAGGAACCACAGGTTAAAGTTTAAATCAATAGAAAATATTATTGATATAGGAAAAGAAAATTATAAAGCTCCAAGCACTTTTGAGAGGCCCGGTACTCTGCCGAAACTACTCTTCAAAGTCTGCCAAATTCCCCAACTCCCTAACCCACTATATATTCAACCACCCAAATTTGACAAACTTATTCGTTAAATACGAATATAATACTCCTCTTCCTAACAAAGTGCTTCTACATCTACAAATGCTTCCTTTTCAAATTATTCCGTTTCCAATTCTTCCGGTTAAATATCAAAGATCAAGAAGCATATAAAAAACACGTTGCTAACCTGATTCCATGCAGAATTATTAAAAACATCTTCCTCAAGGAGCTCTTGACAATAGTCAAGTTCATCTTCCCATCCACCCAGTGCCTGAAGAACCCACTGCATTAAAAGTAATAAACCAGGTAAATAAGGTCTTGATCGAAAAAATAAAAATACAATAAAACAAATCCAAACTTGCATTTAATAGATATAGGATAACATAATAAACTGTAGTAGATTGGAGATAAAACCTGTCTATGGGACCAGGCATGATAATTTTTGGCATCCAGGGAGAGGATATTTTTGGTGAATTTAAGCTCTTTGCTTGAAGCATCAGTTCCAAGTTTCTGAGCAACCCATCGCCTATGATGCCTGCATAGATATCGCACTAAGATTCATGCAGTGGCCTACTACTGATGGAAGAGAGGATGAAATAACTGCCTATTAGGTCATAAATTTAACATGTTAGACAGACATTTGACAACCTCTATCATTGTACATCAAGGTAATAATCCCTCCCCTTCCTGTTTATTGCACTTTTTTCCTGACAAACTTTTAAAAGAAAAGGAAAAAGAACCTATTTGTACTACAACAAGATTTTTGTTATCTGCAAGAACCTCCACCTCTTAATGAAAAAAACACAGATTGAAAGGCGGCTCTATTACCAGGCTTGTGGCACTTCTAGCTCTTGAAAGAAAGATGAAGTAGTACATATAGTTTGAAGGCGATAACTCAACATAAGGAAAAAGGTACAATGCATTCATAATTTAAGTTTGAATAAATAAAAAAAAAATTTCTTTTCTTTATCTTAAATGCAGCTCTAATATCAAGCAAAAGATTCAAAATTTGAAAAGAATTGAAAAAATTTCAAGCTCATTAATTCACATATTATGCTGACCATATCTGATAGTTTTTGGTGTTAGATTCTGCAACGTCATCAATGAAATCTAGTTCATCATGTAAGTCAACATTGAGGGCCTCAAGTATCAAACGCCTGAAATGCCAGACCTACAAGAGGAAAGAACTTCATTATCCTACTTCCAAAGGTAAAATTAAACTAACCACCTTTTATACAAGCTCATTACAACAAGAGTAGGCTTTAGAATGATCTGTATTCAGGTTGAATTAAAAAGTCGACAAGCTCTTTAATGAAAGTAATTGAAGCTTGAATTTTAGTTGGTAGGGCAGAATTGACAAGTGCTGCACTACTCTGGCCTTAACACAAATTAACTAAACTAATATAAAACTTATCTATCTGCAGCAACAAAAGGTAATATCAGTATTATATCAGAAGATAAAACTAGATATGGACACCCACAAGCTAAGCCAAATTACAGACAAATTACAGATCATATTCTAATTGCAAATGAAGTGGTGGAAGATTATAAAATATGGAACAAGAAAGGGCAGGCCTTTAAACTAGATATAAAGAAAGCATATGTAGAGCCAATTGAAAATCTACAGAGATAAGGTTTCAAAATCAATGGATTAATTGGATTAGAGGGTGTATATATGGACCAAAATATTTTCATACTCTTAATAGAAGACCTAAAGTAGAATGGTGGCCACAAAAGGTTTAAGACAAGGAGACCCTTCTCTTCAGTCTTACCTTTACTCTTTTTGTTGTAGGAGATGTGTTGAGAAGGTTAATTGACCATGGTACTAATGGCGGCTGGATATAGGGATTCATAATTGACAGAAAAAGATTATCTAATCTCATCTACAATTTGCAGATGGCAGTATAACGTTTTGCAAAGATGATGAATTCATGCCTAATAATTTACTCAACATAATTAAAATTCTCGAAGTGGCATCAGGTTTGAAGATAAATGGGAGGAAATCATAAACATCGAAAGAGGAAGGTTAAGAAATGGCAAGAAATCTGCAACAAGGGGGTGAAAGGAGTTACAGTGTAATTGCCAGAATTCATGGCAATGGCTTCGGCAGTGAGGTGGAGAGAGCGAAGGGAACGCTCATCTGCTCGATAAACAGCTCGGAAGTAATTCATGACCTCAAGGAAGTCTTCTCTGTAGGCAATCGCAACAATCGGATTCTGACCGTCATCCTGCGGAAGCGGAGTTACGTCCGACCACTCCGGTCGGTGGCTCACCGGAACTCTGTCGTCGGAATCCATCTCTTGCTCGCTAAACACGCAATCGCAAGAGAAAGAGAAGATCCAACCTCAGAGTCGAAGGTAACTAGGGATTATGGACGGTTCTTTTCTCTTCTATGAGTGAGATTCTGCTTCCGCTTTCTACTGTAGTTCCATGGCTAATTCAGAAAATTGGTCACAAGCTACTCTCTTAATTTTTACTATTTGTTAGAAGAAATAATTTGAATTTCATTAATTTTTACTATTTTAGTTGAGTGTTTGGGTTAAGTTTGGTTCATGTACTCTCAAATAGTGCATTTTGCTAATTCTAAAAAAAATTATACATACATACATTCCATTTTTATTTATTTTATCCCTATCATTTTAAAATTTTATTATTTTTTTAAAGGATTTCTATTTACAAAATTTTAACGTCAATTTTAGACTAAATTACAAAACATATTCCTCATCTTTATCATTTGTTTAAAAAACATCTATGTCATTTCAAATGTTTTAATACTATCATCGACTATTTATAAGCGTTTTAAAAATACGCTTTAAATAAACATAAGTTAATATTTTGAACGGAAATATGACTATCAAAATCTAGAATGACATGATAATTAAACATGAAATCTTACCTAGAATTATTAGATAACATTGCAACAAAATTGACCGGTAAAAAAATTCCCAAGTAGAAACAATGATAGACCTACAATCGACCCTGTTAAAAGTCAAATTTGTTGTAATGCTAGCTAATTCTTCCACGTTACTTGTCACACCATTCCATATTTTGATAAGTCAACTTTTCGTTTAAAATAGAAATGGATGTTTGCTTGATGACATTTTGAAACATAGTATTTTTTTTTACCAAAGATAAAGTTAAGGCACATTTTTTTTTATAATTTAGACTAAATTTTATACTTTAAAATTAGTTTGTATAAAAAAACTTTAAAATTAGTTAGAATTTAGCCTGAGGTTAGATTTAAGGGAAGTAATGATTGGCTGCCAACTCAGACACTTTGTATACAAATTAAAGGGCCAAAATTATAGGTAGGTTCAAGCTTGGATCTGTTCAAACTTAAATCAATTTAGGGCTTAAAAAAGGAATAAAATCTCATCAGTACTGCATTGGCCATGGCTTCGAGGGATCCTAAACTTTGTATACAGACTTCTGTAAAGCCACCATAACATATGAGCTTCTGCAGGGAAAAAGAAAAGGTTAGAAATATTTAGAAAAATTGAAGAAATAATATGATCTGTCAAAGTAACAAACAACAAATAATAGGGAATTAGGACAATGCGTTGATTTGAAGAGTAACATTAATTAAAGAAAAGGAAGTTTCGTGTGTGATGAATGTTTACAGAAGAATTTGAATTTGGTATAGGATTTGTGCTAGAGGCGAGGTGATACAAAAACCCAGAAATCCGCTGAAAGAAAAAGGGAAAACAGAGAGATTTTAAAAGCAGAGCATGGAGGATGAATCGATGGCCTAAGATAGTCATTTCTGTTTCATTAAAAATTTAATGAAGAACAATGAATTGCATGGCTCCAACGTCTATGAATTCAAGTACCATAAAACGACAATCTTTTTATTTATGTTTTGAAACAAATTAGAAATAGAAACAAGAGAAAACTTGTTTTCGTTGTTTCCAAAATTTATATACAAATGTTCTAAAAATAAAGGAGAAACAAGAAACAAATGAGTTGCAGAATGCTTAAAACAATAAATGAAATGTTACCAAACGTGCCCTACGTTTTCCATTCCCAAACACATGGCCCAGACCTCGTTTATTCCAATTGCGTTAAATCTAACCTAATTTATTTTAATGTATTAGGATTAAATCCTTAGAACTAAATCTAATTTATTTTAATGTATTAGGATTAAATCCTTGGAACTAAATCGATACAAAATATATAGAATGAAAAGATTATTCTCACAAACCATTTTCCTTTCACCCCTTGAAAAAAGTCAGTCACCAATGATGCTTGGATTAGGAGAAGCAAACTCAAGAAACTCAAAGTCAGATTCTAACAACTTCATTTTTTGTTCCTCCAAAACAATCCATGCTTCTATTCCATTCCCTCTCACTGTTTCCATCAAGATAACAAAATTCTTCATCCCACAGTCCAAACCCTTTCCTCCGCTGCCGATCCATATCGGTTTCCCCCACCCGAAATCCACCTCCTTCAAACCCATGTTACGCCAGCTTGTGAAAAAATAAGTTTCCGAGCCCTCGCTGTAATTCTCATGCAGTTGCGTTAACAAATTCATAACGATCTCAAAACCGTCGTCTCCGGTCATCTTCCTGACAAAATCGTTGTCGATTTTTGACAATGATTGTCTTAGCTTGTGTTCCAAATCCTCTAGGTTTGTGTCGTTTGTGTTTGACGGTTCGTAATAAGAACATGCTTTCCAGATAATGTTGCCAACAGAGGCTTCTGATAATGGTGGCTCTATTCTTCTTCGCAGGTTCACAACGTGAATTAGAACCGACCCCTTTTTACAATCAACAAAATTTTGCTCTTTGGGAAGCTCGAGAAGATCCATGTTGTCTGATGATTTATGTCGTCCTACTTGTTATTATATTTATTGATGAAAAAAATATTTGTTAGCAGAGATTTATAGGAAAAAAAAATGAAAGGATTACTTAAGAATGAATAAACCACCACTCAATTTAAAAGTTTAAACTCCAAGTAAATTTAATTTATTTATGGATATCTAACCATTGTTTACCTAAATTAATTAGTGTTTCAAATATTGTTCTTAATTCTAAATAGATTATCCATGAGTAGGAAGGTTATATTGCCTTTGAATTTGAAAAATAAAAAATAAAAAATCATATGATCAACATTTTGACTAGAGACAAGTATTAATTATCGCTGGGCTCAACTCATGTGGGCAAATGTTAGTTTTAATTCATTATAAAAACATATTAGAGGCTCCCTCCTCATCAGTAAATATAGTATTTTTTTACCCATAGAACTAAAAAATAAAATAGTCAAAGCGAGTATAACTCTACGCTAATTGGCATATATCCCTTAACAAAGAGTTCGATTCCCTGCCCAGAACATAATATTTATATATATTAATTAATCAATAATTAATAATTACATGGAGCCACTTTCATGGCGTATTTCCGAATGAAGCACGTAACTACTTCCACACTGGTAGGGTTGGACACAGAATCAGATTTAGCTTGAGCTTTAAGCTTCTATATTGCCATGGCGTCAAAAACAAATCGCCGAGTACAACTTCTCTCTCCCGGAGACATCAAACTCCGCGTTTCTTGGTAAAATAAAATGTATCGAGATCAGGAATTTCTCTGTGCGGGAACAACGAGAAAACCCAGTCGTAATTATTGTCGCATACGACCTTATCCGTCGTTGTAACTCCTCTACAAGATGCTGCCCACGATTTGATGAACGAGCTCATGGTGGCGCCGTCAATTACACTATGCAGCAACGACACGCTGATGGTGATTCCGCCACCGCCGGCAAACCTGCTAACCTGCACTGCGATCTGTACCGTCGGATTCCAACGTAATGGAAGGGAATGAGCTGGCCGAGAATCTCGAGGTTTGGCTGTTTCAGAAACTCATCCATGGTGATATTAACCGCCGCCTATTAAAAAAGTAAGGGAGAAAAACTTATACTTCAAAGTAGAAGTTGATGGCCTGGATTGGGTTAGGTCGGGTGTTTTTTAGACCCAACTTAATTTTTCAAAAGTTATAAATTTTATTCCATCCAAACAATTTTGATTATATAATAAGCCAAATCCAATCCAATCATAAAATATTTGAGTTGGATTGATTCGAGTTATTGTATATATTTGTATAATAAAAAGAGAAAATGATAATATCTTACCCTTTTTATATATGGTCTAACATTGAGTCAAGATTAGTAAAGTCGATTTTTTTATAAGGAGAAAAAGTACACTTCAAAAATTTAAAGAAATTATTTTTAAAAATGGTTGTAGAATAAATAATCCTTAAAAGACTTATCAGATGAAATAAAATGAAAATAAATGTAACTATATATAATTTTTATAGTGAGTAAAAAGAAATAGTTTTAAAATTAATAATAAATTCTTTGGTTCGGTTCAAAATGTATTTTAGGCGAACTCTTGAATCAAGAACTCATAAAATTTTTATTTGTCCGAACCCAACCCAACGAAAAGAAATTTATAGCCCGATCTTTTCGAGTCATCAAATTTTTTGAACACTCTGCCTCATAGAAACGAGAAAATACTGCAGGAATTTTCATGAAGACGCATATGTATAGTAAATGTTGGCTAACTCAACAAAATTATTGAATTTTTTTTAGAGAGAAAAGAAATTATTGAATCATGCCGCATTATAAATAAATGCTCCCTAATAATTAATAGATACAAAATTGAAAAACTTAAGCATATAAAACTACTTTTTGGCAACCTCTACGGATCATTTCTTATAACAAAAAGTTGTCTTATACGTTTTGCGAGACATAATCTTCCAACTTTGAGCTTTCTCTCTTTTTCAAAAATTTGTAAGAAGGTAAAGTTTAAATTATGTCATTGTCACCTGCAAAAAAAAAGCACTGTGAACGCTAGTGGATGACGTTACCGTTGATTCTGCCAGCCAGAACGTAGAAACGGCCCAGAGTTTCCGATAGGGAGAGCTTCAAGGAAATGGCGATTTCGCTGAAGAAACGGTCATTAGCATCGACATCGACATCAACATTGTTAAGAGAGTAGAAGAAGACGATGGAAGTGCAAACTTGAGGGGAGAGCTGGTCGAGAAGGTGTTGGGATGATGCAGGGGAATGGAGGAGGGGGCTGGCTTGATGGTTTGTGTGGACAAGATTTTAACCTCCATGGGTGTACTAATAATCTCTAATTTTTCTCTCTTTGCCCTGAAACTACGCACCAATGATGGCCCAACGTTGTTATATATATAGAGAGAGAGAAAAAACTTAGGGATATGGGTAGATATAGCCCTATGGGACTTTTAAAATAGTATATCAACCTCAAAACCAAGTTTAAAATATATATATATACACCTTCCCCAATTTCTTTTTAGTGCGTATGTTTGAATTTTCAACCTTAAAGAAAATATAAATAAATGTTGTTATGGCAATGAATTTTCAACCTTAAAGAAAATATAAATAAATGTTGTTATGGCAAGATAAAAGAAGAATGGA